GAGGAAAAGTACAGGGTGTTATGACATAAATAACGCTAAGAATGAAAGATCAGGAAGGAGCCCTAGCTGCTTTGGCTCAGTGGATAGAGCATCGGCCTGAGGACTGAAGGGTCCCGGGTTCGATTCTGGTCGAGGGCACATTGCCAGGGTTGTGGGGTCAGTCCCCAGTGAGGGTGTGCAGGAGGCAGCTGATCAATGATTCTTTCTCATCATTGCTGTTTCTATCTCTCTCCCTTTCCCTCCCTCTCTGAAATCAATAAAAATAAATAAATAAGAAAGAAATATCAGGAAAGAACTCTTTGAGAAAAATAATATTTTAGGTAAGACCTGAAGTTTGAGTAGAAGTTAGACAAAGCAAGCAGTAGCAGAGAACACCTTTTCAAACAGAAAATAGCATTTTCTAAGGCTTTAAACCAAGAAAGACTTTGGGGAATTAGAAAAATAGAAAGAAGGCCAGCGGAATGCATAGTATTGAGTAAAAGGCATACTTTCAAACTGGAGGGGTAGATGGGTCAAATCACTCATGAAAGACAATAAGATTTTTTTGGTTTAGTTTTTAGAAAGTTGATCCTAGCCCAGGCTGGTGTGGCACGATTAGTTGGACTGTCATCCCGTCCCGTACACCAGAAGATTGCGGGTTCAGCTCCTGGTCAGGGCACATACCTAGGTTGTGGGTTTGATCCCTGGTCAGGGTGCGTGGCAGAGTCAATTGATCAATGTCTCTGTCTCTCTCTACCCTCCCTGTCTCTAAAATCAATTAAAAATTAAAAATAAAAATCCTAAGTACAGTGGGTTCTAACTAGGGATATGACATTATTTAAATTGTGTTTAAAGAAGATTTCTCTTGCTGCAGTGTGGAGAATGGATTGCAGTAAGGTAAAAGAGGAGAGGCCGTAATATGGACAAGAGATCTGGCTTGAACTAAAGAGCTGACAAGTAATGAAGGTGCAGAGAAATATGATTTCAGAATAAAATTATCTGTATACATATCATCTATATTTGTTTCTTGTTATGCTATGATTCTCTGTTCTTTTAGATTATATTAGTTAGCATCTTTCTATCTCCATTTCTGTGTTATTTTTCCACATGGCATGTGATGTATGAGGGCTGTGGACAGAGGCATGATTGAAGTAGTATGGAAAAGCACCTACCTAGAAGAGTTTATATGCCATGTTTATTCATATCATTCAACAAATATTTATCAAGCTCTTACTATAAGCAGACACTGGTTTAGGTATAGGGACCCAGTGGTAAAGACAAACAAGGCCCTGCTCCTATGGCGCTCACAGTGTAATGGGAGGAGACACACATAAAGAATAAATGAAGCCCTAATCGGTTTGGCTCAGTGGATAGAGCATCGGCCTGCGGACTGAAGGGTCCCAGGTTCGATTCCGGTCAAGGGCATGTACCTTGGTTGCGTGCACATCCCCAATAGAGGGTGTGCAGGAGGCAGCTGATCAATGTTTCTCTCTCATCGATGTTTCTAACTCTCTATCCCTATCCCTTCCTCTCTGTAAAAAATCAATAAAATATATTAAAATAAATAAATAAAAATTTTAAAAAAAGAATAAATGAATATACAGACAGTGGTAAGTGCCATGCAGGAAACTGAAAGAGGGTCATGTGCTAGAAAGGAAATGACTTGCTACTTTAGTATGGGGGGTCAGAGCAGGCCTCTCTGGAAAGGTGACATTTAAGCTCATACCCAAAGAGCCAGCTGTGTGAAGATTTTGGAGGCAGAATATTTCAGGTAGAAGGGCCCAATTGTATAAAGGCCCCAAAGCAGGAACAAGCTTGACGGGATCAAAAGAAACAAATGTGGGTGGAGCACTGATTGACAGAAAGAGTGGTGTAGTGTGGAGTTAGAGAGGCAGGTCAGATGTGAGGTCTGTAAGCCTGTCTAAGTTATCTAGGTTTTATTCTAAGTGTGACAGGAAGGAAACCAGGAAGATTTTTAAGAAGAGGAGTTTATGTTGGGGACGAGGGGCAAGAGTGACCGTGGAGAGACAGGTCAGAAGACGAAAGCAGTAGAGCAAGCAAGAGATGACAGTGGCTTGGACTGTGGAGATGGAGTGTAGCAGAGGTGCTTACACTGAAGCTGTGTTTTGGAGATAGGACAATCATACGGAGTACAGACCACTGTTGTGAGAATGGATTCAAAATAAAAATACGCTGTTCTTAAGGATTTATAATGTAACACATTTGGCAAGCTGCTTACCACCTCTGGGCCTCTTTTTTTTCTTTTGTTAATCTTCACTGGAAGATACTTTTTCCTTTTAGAGAGAGTGGAAGGGAGGGGCGATGGGTAGAAAGGACAGAGAGAGAAACATCAATGGGAGAGAGCGACATCAATCCGTTGCCTCCCACACGCACCACAACAGGGGCAGGGAACCTGCAACCCAGGTATGTGCCCTTGGCCAGAATCGAACCTGAGACCCTGCAGTTCACAAGCTGATGCTTTAACCACGCTGGCCACCACACCTCTTTTTTTTTGTTTTGTTAAATAAAAGGATTGGATTTAAGTTATTTATAATTTAACTCTGAAGCAACTGAAGCTTATTCTTTTCAAACAAATTTCTGCCGGGCTGGTGTGGCTCAGTGGTTGACCATTGATCTATGAACCAGGAGGTCACCGTTTGATTCCCGGTCAGGGGACATACAGGAGGCAGCCAATCAGTGATTCTCTCTCATCATTGATGTTTCTATTCTTCTCTCCCTCTCCCTTCCTCTCTATGAAATAAAAAACATATTTATAAAAAAAAAAAGTTTGTATTACTGTAGTTCAAGTTGAATGTGTGTGTTAATATGTTGCCAAGTGGAAAAGTGAAAGTTGAGGTTGATCTTGGAAGATTTGATGATGCTCATGAACTTTAGCCCAGGTTCTTAAGGTAATTGTGAACATATTCGTTAGAGAAAGGTGGGAGGACATTTCTAATAATGGGCACTAATACACATCCACTTCTGGGTTCTGATGTTAATCCTTGGCATTTTGGCGGGAAAAAATGTTTGAATGTTCTGTTGGCTATGCTAAGTGGGTACACGTGCCCTTACTGACTCTTCCGTCCTGTGTTTCTCAGGTACTATCTGTTTTCTCTCATCATGAATTTGAGTCGGGATGCTTATGAGATTCGCCTACTGATGGAACAAGAGTCTTCAGTTTATAGCCGGCGACAGAAGGGCTCTGGAGGAGGAGCCCCAGGAGGAATTGAAACTGGGGGACCTGGGGATCCAGGGACTCCAGGAGGAGGCCTACCCCAAATAGCTCTGAAGCTTCAGCTCCGAGTCCTGCTCCTGGCTCGGGTCCTTCGGGGTAATCCCCCGCTTCTGCTGGATGTAGTCAGAAATGCCTGTGACCTCTTCATTCCACTGGACAAACTAGGCCTCTGGCGCTGTGGCCCGGGAATTGTGGGGCTTTGTGGCCTCGTGTCCTCCATCCTGTCTATCCTCACTCTAATCTGCCCTTGGCTACGACTCAAGCCCTGATGTTCTGGTGCAGGATAAGGAGGGGACCTGACTTGGTAAGATGGAATCTTAGATTGTCCCCAGTGTCCCAGCCGCATCCTAACCCTAATCCTTGGTTAAAGTTAAAATCCAGAGATTTAGGGGTAAACCAGGGGTGGGGAACGTCTGGCCCGTGGGCCGTATAAGGCCCACAAAATCATTTGGTCTGGCCCTGCCAAGGCATTAGGGGTGAGTTAATTAAATGTTTGACCAAGTATATCAGGCTAATTTTTAAGTGGATAATTTTGAATGGCCCATGAAAGATGTTATAAATATCCAATGGCCCTTGACAGAAAAATGGTTCCCCATCCCCAGGGTAGAGGAAGGAGCTTTGGGGAAGATGAGGTGAGGAAAGGTGACTTGTGTAGTCAGTAGGATGATTCCAGGGTTCAGATCTGCTGGAGCTTTCGTTCTTTTCCTCCTCCGTTACATTGTCTGTGTCTCTCTTGACTCTTGATTTTATCTCTCTTAAATCTTAGATTCTGTCTCTGGGTGGTTTTTTTTTCCCTTCTCAGTCCCCTGTCCTAGGAATTTAATCAGCAGCAAAACGAGTTTTTGGTAGGGGAGAAGGTGTGTTCTGTAAGATTCTAATTGCCTTCTTTTTCCTCACAGAGGTGGCTTGTGGCAGACTTTACCCCCTTCAGACTCCAGACTATAATTTTAAAGATTTATGTCCCAGTGGACTCTTCCCTCATGCCCCAGTGGTTTGCTGCTTCCTCTTCCTCCCTCATGGCTACCTCACCAACCTCGCTCATGACTTGGCCCTTACCCTTCCCTCTACTCACATCTGCAGATTTCGGCTTACACTTGGACTTCAGGGCTTCGTTTGCAGCCTGTTCTTACCCCTTCTCTGCCACCCCAGAATGATGCCGTGTCTAACATCTTGCTGTAAATATTGTACAATGATTCTGTGTAAATAGTTAGGGCCCCGCCCACAATGGAGAGCACGCCTTCTAGGCCAGCCAATTAAAGATCATTTGCTCATTGATGTTTGGTCTGGTCCTGTGTGTTCTTGTCATCGGAAGCCCCTATTTCTGTCACTGTGGTTTGGAGTTTTCATGGGATTAGCCACTGCATCATCACCCACAGACTTCTGTTGAGACCTAAACCCTACAGGGCATCGTACTCGGTGGTAGAGATACAAAAAGCTTAGCTCCTCGGCCCCAGCGTCAGATGTTTGTAGCCTACTTGGGAAGATGGGAACCTGATGTTAAAGTGATTATACAGGTTCCACCAAGCACACCCATCCCAGGTCAGTGTATGGCCCCTCCAAAAGCTACAGTGCCGCAGGCAGCAGGGGCTGAGTCCAAACAGAGCTAAGTTGTTTGGCTTCGTCTGTGGGCTGGTTGTACCTTCACATGTTGGGACTCCCCTGGGTGGTTAGGTCAATAAAACCACTGTTATCGGTTCTTTATTTTTTAGATCTCAGGTTGAGGTGAATACGGTTAGGAAGTAAAAAGTGTCTGCCTCCCACTCTGTTTATTCCAAACCCAAAGAAAGCATTATTGTCTGGAAACAACAAAGGACAGGAAAAAGGAGAAGGAAACAGCAGAGTCCAGAGTTGTGTTCCCTTTGGATTCTGAGATGTCGCCTCCAGGGGGCAGCACCAAGGCAGGGAACTAGACTAAGATCACTCAGTCCTGTCCTCTGTCTGGGGCTCCCCACAGGTCCCCACCATCACTCCTCCCATTCCTCCCGACTTTATTTTTAGCTGGCAGCGGGAGGGGGCAGGATGGGAGGGAAACTAACGAAAACAGAAGAGGCGAGGGACAGAGGCGCAGAGGACTTCTCACGCGGCCAGAACAGCCAGGCATGGAGCTGCCTCTCATCCCTCACCTGTTCTTGTCCCTGATGGTCCTGACAGGTGAGGGAGGTTAACTTCTTGGTTTCTGATGGGAAAAGAGGATAGTGGATTGTTTGGCATTGGGACTTTAGGGTTAAAATTATTTGGGAATTAGGGTGAAAGATTAACACTGATTCTCCATTGCTAGTGTGTCTGTATGTCTGTGTGTGGGCGCGCGTGTGTGTGTGTTTGCACGTTTGCATTCTTATGCCCACAGCATATGACCGAGTTAGTATTGAGATTGTCAGAGCCTGTGTCAGGTTTGTGATCCACTTATCTAAAACCTGTGTCCTCAGCTCTGGAGAAGTTAGGGGACCACAAAGAAACAGGACGTGGCCTTCCACGTGGCCACTCTGATTCCTATTCCCCCCTCCCTTCCTCTCCCTACCCTTGGTGGTCTCTGGAGCCGGAGGCATAGCTGACTAACCGTGTAGTCAGAACTCTGGGTTTATCTAACCAATGAGCTGCAGTTCCTAGCCATACAGCCCTGGCATTTTCCTGGGTGCAAAAAGGCTCACATACAAACCACCTTTTTGAAAATGAGCATGGTTTGAGGCAGAGCTGTCGCCATTGGTGGGAGTGGGTGGTCTAAGAGGGGGTGGCTTGAAAGGAAGGAGCAAGACACAGGGAAAGAACCGTGGGAGAGACCAGAAGCTGGAATGTTTCCTCACCAGTGCCCTGTAATCTTCGTTTCCTAAAATACCAGCTCTGACTTTAAAGGGATGGGAGGGAAGAATCAGCCAGAACTTGATTGGGGGCGGGGGTCTTTAGAGTGGGTCCACAGCTAAGGAAGAAATGCGGAGAGCAGTGGGGAGGGTGGGTACATTTAGAAAGGAAGCTGGTGGTTGTGGGAAACTTTAGGGCGAAGGGACCCTTGCTAGGATGAATGGCAAACCATGTGTGTGGGCAGGCGAGGAGCCCCACCCAGTTAATTGCCACTGAGGTTTTCAGGGCTGGAATCACCCAGAGCCCTAGACGTTGGAGAATGAGAGTGAACGCATAACAATGACACTGGGAGTCAAGAGGGAGAGAGGAGAGACCCAGACATTCAGTGTTCCCCCGTCTCCTGTTCTCCCCATGGTCCTGGTTTTGGGGAGAGTTTGAAAGGCATGGTTGTTCTGGGGCTACAGACAGTCTCTCTCCCTCTTTTAACCCTCCGCTTGGGGAGGAGGATGTGTAGGAGGAATGATGTGGAAAAGAGGAACTTGACCCAGGCTTGTCTGTAAATTAGATCAGGGGTTGGATGGAAATACAGCTGTGCACTAGCATGGCAGAGGGCCACAGGTTAGGCAGCTGGACACAGATACAGGAAGGACATCATCCTTGCCTGGAGCTCTGAGTCCACGACATTGACAGAGGCCAGGCAGCTTATGAGTAACTAGAGGCTCGATGCACAAAATTCGTGCAAGAGTAGGCCTTCCTTCCCCCAGCTGCTGGCACCGGCTTCCCTCTGGCACCTGGGACGTGGGCTTCCCTGGCAGCCCCGGCCTTGTCCGGAAGGTTGTCTGGTCTAATTAGCATATTACGCTTTTATTATTATACATAAGCAGAGAAATAGACTTATAGCAAAACATGTTCTTCACAGCCTCTCTCTGGGCATTCACTAGCCTCTCGACCTGCTGCCTGCTAACCTTATAATCCCGGCCCCCCAGGTCTCTGCTCCCCCTTCAACCTGGATGCGCATCACCCACGTCTGTTCCCAGGGCCACCTGAGGCTGAATTTGGATACAGTGTCTTACAACATGTTGGGGGTGGACAGCGATGGTGAGGAGGAAGCCAGAGGGCCATGAGATGGGGGCAGTGATGACGCTGTAAAGGGTTTGAGGCAGATGGGAATCTAAAGGAATCGGGAAGTGGGTGGTCTCTAGATTTGCCAGCCCATGCACTTACCCTCTGGCCTATCTCTCTCTTTCTTTTTTATTTTTTGTATGGCCTATCTCAAAGGTCATGGTTACACTGTGCTTACATTCATGCCCTCCCCCAGGGTGCTGGTGGGTGCCCCCTGGGATGGGCCTTCTGGTGACCGAAGGGGAGACATTTACCGCTGCCCCATAGGGAGATCCCACAATGCCTCATGTGTCAAGGTCCACTTGGGTAAGATGCCTCACTCTTCTACTCCTAACCCCTAACCTTCATACGCTAGTAACTTTGACCCCTTATACCTCACCTTCACCCCCATATCCCACATGCTCCCTGTCCCCCACTGGACCCTGATCTCTTCTCAAACCCCAAATCACCCTGAACTCAAGCACATCTGTGACTCCATGATCTCATTCTCTTCCACCCCCCTCCCACCAGGTGACTACCCACTGGGAAATTCATCTCGTCCTGCTGTGAACATGCACTTGGGGATGTCTCTACTGGACACAGATGGTGACGGGGGATTCATGGTGAGCTAAGGACAGGGTGTGGCTGGGTCTCTGAGGGTTTGTGGCAGAGAAAGAGCAGTATGGTGCGGGAAGCTGGTCTGTGCAGAGGGTCAAGGAGTTAAAAACCCTAGAAAGTAGAGGGGGAATCTCAGTGCCTCCTCCTCGGCGCATGTTCTGCGGGCGCCTCCCAACCTGGGAGTAACTGTGTCTCCCTCCTGCCCCCAGGCCTGTGCCCCACTCTGGTCTCGTGCTTGTGGCTCCTCTGTCTTCAGTTCTGGAATCTGTGCCCATGTAGATGCGTCATTCCGGCCCCGGGGAAGCCTGGCACCCACTGCACAGCGTAAGCCAGAAGGAGGGCTGAGGTTCAGGGCTGGGGTGCAGGGTGGGAAAAGGATAGGGTGTCAGGGTCTGATGGGCCTGCCTGGCTGTCCTCACTGCTACCTAATGTGTCTGCATAAGCGCCATGCTTCCTAACAGGTTAGAATTCAGACTCTACCAGGGCACTAAGACGCCATGAACTGATCAAAACAACTTCAAAAACTCAACTCTCACTGTATCCCTCCACGCCCTTGGCTACAGCATTTACCTCACCATTCTCCAATGTGTCATCTATTTGTATACCTCCATCTCCTTTTGTTTAAAGAGTTCTCAATCCAAATGCCTTTTCTTGTATTCTCCTCTCCTCAAACATCTTCAGTCTTCAGTATTGGCTCAGTTGCTGCCTCATTTGATTCCCCACCATCGGTGCTATGTTTTTACCTGGCATGCAATTATTATTATTATTATTATTATTATTATTATTATTATTATTATTGTAATATGCTTATACTAGGGGCCCAGTGCATGAATTCGTGCACCTTGAAAGGAACTGTGGGCTGTGAGGCTATGGTGGTCACAGGGCAAGTCTCAGCCAATCCTCCCCGCCCCCATCTGCCCCCTCCCACTGTGGCCCTGGTCCCTTGTCTGCCAACAGCCCCACTCTCACCGCTGCTCGCCCACGCACTGATGGCACTGGCCCTGCTCACACCTGCTGACAGCATGGAGCAATTGAAACCTGTGCCAGCAGCGGGTGTGAGCAGGGCCAGTACTGTCGGCAGGTGAAAGCGGCGGCTGCTGCCCCGATCGCCCCCCAGGAGAAGGGGGAGGTAGAGAAGCCTCAGGGGCGATAGGGGCCGGTGCCTGGCACTGGCCATGGGTGCGTGTGAGTGGGGCCAGCGCGGGGCACTGGCAGCGGGTGCAAGCATCGGGCGGAACCACGGCGCACGGGAGCAAAGAATTTTCAGTAGCCGAAACCGGTTTGGCTCAGTGGATAGAGCGTCGGCCTGCAGACTGGGGGGTCCCAGGTTCGATTCCGGTCAAGGGCATGTACCTGGGTTGCGGGCGCATCCCCAGTGGGAGATGTGCAGGAGGCAGCTGATCGATGTTTCTCTCTCATCGATGTTTCTGACTCTCTGCCTCTCTCCCTTCCTCTCTGTAAAAAACCAATAAATTATATTAAAAAAAAAAAAAGAATTTTCAGTAACCACCAGAGGCTTGCCCCAATCCTGCTGCGGCCATCGCCCGCCATGGTCCACCTGCGCCCCCTGGTGGTCAGTGCATGTCATAGCAACTGGTTGTTCGGTTGTTCTCCCATTCGGTCTATTTGCATATTAGGGATATATATATATAGATAGATAGATTTCAGAGAGAGGAAGGGAGAGGGAGAGATAGAAATATCAATGATGAGAGAAAATCATCAATTGGCCACCTCCTGCATGCCCCCTACTGGGGATTGAGCCCACAACTGGGGCATGTTCCCTGACCAGGAATTGAACTGAACCATGACCTCCTGGTTCATGGGTCATTGCTCAACCACTGAGCAACACTGGCCGGGCTTTTTTTTTTTTTTTTTTAGTATATTGCATGTATGCCCATCTCTCCTTTTATTCATTTCTACATTTACCCAGCGCCTGGCATACTACCTTCCTTGCATGACAGAAGTGCCTAATAAATGTTTAAATTGAATGTGCCCTCCTGTGACCTCTTCCCTTGTTCCCTTATGCCCAATATCCTGTACCCCTCTGCTCTCTATCACCACACTCCTCCTCCTAGGCTGCCCCACATACATGGATGTTGTCATTGTCTTGGATGGCTCCAACAGCATCTACCCCTGGTCTGAAGTTCAGACTTTCCTACGAAGACTGGTGGGAAGACTGTTCATTGACCCAGAGCAGATACAGGTAAGAGAGGTCAATAGGATGGGCTCGGAGGGGAGAGACCGGGAGAGAGGAGATACACATAGATAGTGTCTTCAGGAGTATCCAGGCGCTCACCTTCCCTCCCTTACACACTTTCTTCTCCCTCCCCACTTCCATACACACATTTCATTTACAAATACATTTTTTATTGATTTCAGAGAGGAAGGAAGAGGAAAAGAGAGATAGAAACATCAATGATGAAAGAAAATCATTGACTCTCTCCTGCACAGATATTTGTCACTGATGGATGGAGCCACCCCACTGGGGATGGAGCCCACAACTCAGGCATGAGCCCTGACCGGGAATCAAACCATGACCTCCTGTTTCATAGGTGGACACTCAACCACTGAGCCACAACCGTTGGGCTACATACATTCATTTGACTGTGCACTTTACTCCAGGTGGGGCTGGTACAGTATGGCGAGAGCCCTGTACATGAGTGGTCCCTGGGAGATTTCCGAACCAAGGAAGAAGTGGTGAGAGCGGCAAGGAACCTGAGTCGGCGGGAGGGACGAGAAACAAAGACTGCCCAAGCAATAATGGTGGCCTGGTGAGGCACTGGGGAGGGGAGTGGGGGAGGCAGAGTGGGGAGGGCCGAGACGGGTTAGGGGAGGGTGAAGTGCAGTGTGTACATCCCAAGGTGCCTTGGATGTTTATCTTTATGTGAACACTAATGGTGGGTGAGGGGAAACTGAGTTGACTGTCAGTGCACTCCTTCTCGTCACATTTCTACAAAATATCTGTCTGTGTCGCTCCATGTTTCTGCTGTGTTTATCTCTGCAGACAGAACTCTCTCTCCCCATCCTGCCATTCCCACTTTGATCTTGACCCGCAGGTTCTCCATCACTCATGTCCTCGCTCACTTTCCAAACATGATTCAAACTCCTTCTGGGAAGACTAGCCTGGCCTGACCATTCTTCTTTATGCTACACTCCCTTAATACGTGTCCTCCCAAATGCACTCTTTGCTAAATTAATGTAGGAATGAATGAATTTTATACTTATTGCTCTGGCCGGGCAGCTCAGGTGCTTAGAGCATCAACCCAATACACCAAGGTTGTGGGTTCGGTCAGGGCACATACAAGAACCAACCAATATATGCAGAAATACATAGAACAGCAAAAATCTTTCTCTCTTTCCC